GACCTTTTTCTCGTGTGTGTACGAAGATTTGTTTATGCTAGGAGTGTGTGGATATACTGTATAAAATGATCTCGTTCTCTTTGTTTGATTAGCGACGCGCGAATTTAATCGACCAACCGTCGCATGATTCGAACCTTTCGCAAATAACTTTCAGGAGGGGAGAGGATGCACTTCCGTCACCGAGATCCGTGATCCAATTAACGCCACAAACACTAAAATATATGCGTCAACTGCAGATGGCGATCCTAATTCTCACGTCTTCATCCTTATGGTAATTTTCAATCACTGCCTTAGCCAAATAACAAATTTTATACATACGGTAAATGCACTTCATTAGTTACTACGTTTCGAGTGGGTTAAAAATAATAATAATAATAAATTGATTACCAATTACTTATTTATTTATTATTATTGTTATTGGTTAAAACATAAGATAATTCTCTAAAGATTCCTTCGAAACCAGGATATCGTTCAGGTGCACTGTAAATTGGTTACCGGCAAAAATTGATGATACGAGATTTAACGGACTTCATACAAAAAAAAAAGAAAAAGAAAGAAACCCCATTGTCTTTGGCAAAATTTTAATTACCATTACCTTTATCGCATTGTCTGGACCTTGATTTTTGATTTACAATACATGAATGAATGAATGAATCACGGTACCATGAGAGTACAATTCATAATTTCTTAATTTCCGCAATTTTGTGGTGATTATCCATGTTAGGTAATAATTCTTTTGCCAAATATAGTTGTTGATCACTAACACCAAAGGTTTTTTTAATTGTTTTGGTTTCACCAGCGTTTTCCTTCGTTGTTTCAGTACGGATTTTAATTAGTTGACTGATTGAACAATGCAAAAGTGTAGCCAGCTGAAGATTTGTATAGTGTATATTTATGCCTCGCCAACATAAATATTTACCAATCATAACTCATTGTATCATCCTTGTGAAATTTCCATAATGATTACGTAATATTATGAAAATGCGTCTCAATAGAAAACCAGTTTATCAAAAAAACAGTTCGGAGTAGTTAATCCATTTTTTTTTCTCCGTCGTCTAAGAGGACTCTTCTTTTCGTACCTCAGGATTTCGATGTACGGTACTATTTTAAGGAGAAAAAAAGTTTCAAGAAACTTCGGATCATGTACTTTTGCACCAATGTGAACTTATTGTTGAATTCCAATGTTTTTTTCCATGACCTCGCGTGTCTTTAAAATAAAATTCAAAATTTTACCGACAGTTTTATTTACCTTTTTTGCGTATACAATGTTTATGATACTTGTTCTCGTCTTCCTCCGTTATTCCTACAAGGTGTCCTTGTCTTCAATAATCCTTGCCTTACACAAAATCATTAATTTGGATGCACAAATTTAGTTAGTTGTAACTGCATCTATAAATCCGCACATTTCCGCGCACCACACCACGCCAAGGTT